GTTGTGTAAGCCTCTCACTTCAGTAAATTTTACTGTGTGTCAGTCGATATAATATCATCCTCAACATATAATCCCCTTACTTTGACAGCTTTTCTATGACACCCCTTAACTTACTGATGCATATTGTATATTGATGGGAAGATCAAACAAAAGATCGTTGTGTAAGCCTCTCACTTCAGTAAATTTTACTGTGTGTCAGTCTATATAATATCATCCTCAACATATAATCCCCTTAGTTTGACAGCTTTTCTATGACACCCCTTAACTTACTGATGTATATTGTATATTGATAGGGTCATCAAACTGAAGTTCATCTTGTATATCTTTCACTTCAAGAATATGTTCATGTGTACCAGCCTCCATAATGTCATCAAACATGTAAGCCCCAGGGAAATGTCCTTTGCCCATCATTATTAAAGACTTTAGATCAGGCAGTCTGAAACATAACAGCAAATTAATACTGGTACATTGTAATACAGCTCAAATTCAGTTTTAACAATTACCTGGTCTGATATGCTTAATTGTATGATATTAAAACAAATAAACCTGTTACAGCATCAGCAAATGTCATATGAATCGTCACATATACTTGTTTGTACTGTAAAATACATTATATTCACTTGGAATTAATTTTCGCTATTTTCGCTGAAGGAGTAATTCAGTTAAAAAATAAAATCCTGCGAATATACCTTTTTTCTTATATTTTACATTCAACTCACTAAAATCAGTGAAAATAAATTCCATACAAAATACCCAAAAAATCTTTCCAGCGAAAATTAATTCCAGTAAAAATAAATTATTTCACAGTATTCCATTTGTAATGTAGTTTACAATCAGAATTCTTAATTCAAAGCAAGATCATTTTCCATTCCACATCAAATAAATATGAATAGAACCTCCACTTTGGACTATTTAAAAAAAATTTTACACTCTTTACTGTCTGTTTCAATTTAATAAAGATAGTTTATGTTTAGTTATTGAATTTCATGTCATTTAATAAAAATACTGACTCCTTAGGGCTGCCTAAAAAATATGACATAATGTTATTCCTGTCTGTTTCAATTTAATAAAGATAGTTTATGTTTAGTTGTTGAATATCATGTCATTG